GTAATGAGTAATTGAATGTATGCGGACAAAATATTGTTGGCCACGTGAGATATAGCGTTTGTTATAGCGCGACTGTTGAAACTAAGTGTATCGTAAAGTTGTATTCGGAAAGAATAAACCAGTTTTATTTAAGAAAGGACTTGTGTCGCTAAAGTTTCGTCGGAACGAAGTTACGGAAAAATTAACTAACGAACGGAGACGTAACAATAGTATTAGCCCTCGCGAACAAGGCACAAAACGACAGACGTATTTTATTTATTTGATTTTTATTTAATCTTATAAGTAGCATACTATTTATAACTCTTTAGATTATAGTTTAGTTTTAAGAACGTTTGAAACTTCCTTTATAATTTTAACAAGTTCTTCTTTTTGTACTTTTGATGCTTCGTTAAGTAATAAGTATTTTATTTATAATGAACAGGTACCCGTTAAACCTGCGCAACAAAAATCTTCCTCCGCTAGCAAGTGTTGAAACTCTGTCACCATCCTTGACGTCATCGGTTGTGAGCCTCGATACAGCCATCTAGTGGTATCAAAAAGAAAGAAATGCCTGCATTCACCGAAAGAAATAATTCACCCGAAGTCTGAAAACACAGTTTACTTTTGGTTTCAAATAACTTAAATGTTTAAGTAACATGCTAAATTTAAAGAAAACAAAATGGCTGGACCATCAGTTTGCTGACAGTTTTATAATGTCGATATTTAATCTTAGAAAAGCTATAAAAAAAAGGTTGTAGCTGTTATAATTGCTTGTGACTAATAGATGTTTTATTAGAGTTTAGTACAATATTCTCATTTAGTTTTACACCACTATAAAGTTATACATCGAAAGTTTAAGTAATATATGGATTATTCCACTTCTTTCTTTCTTATTACTCTAACACATGTTATGGCAAAATTCTTATCGTGACTACTATGTGAGCTATTTATGTAAATATGCTATGCTATTTGATGATAACGAAGTGCGGCTTGAACAACATTACTTTTTCTACGCTTTGCTGTGAAATGTGTATACCCTCATTTTTCTAGTAGAATGTGAAAACAAGTATTTAGACCTACCCAAGGAGCATTTGAAGTATAATATGCTTTGATTTTATTTGTAGTGTAACAATACAATGGAGAATAATGTAAAAACAAAGATGAAAACGTTTGCCCTTATGATGAGACCTAATAAAACTTAACAGCACCAGCAGTTTGTATACGCGCTTGATTTTCCAGAAGTTAGAATTGATTTCTATTTACGTTTTTATTAAAAAATTAACAACAACAAAAAAAGTATAATTTTCAGTAGTCTCAAATATGATAATGGTTTTATCTTAATTTTTGATATACCTCCCGAAGGTAGATTTTGGCATATTACAAATGGTTTGAGAAATTCGGAAAAGAAACATTTAGGTATCAAAGATAGAATATAATGGTTGGAGACGAAAACGTTGTACATTTGCTGTTGTGTTAAACTTGTATTAAAGTTTTTCTTCATTACCCATTCAAGGGTCATCATCAGGTAAAGTAATTTACACTGACACGGATATATATATATATATATATATACAGTATTGAACAAAGAAGTCACATGACCGGATTCTGTTGACAAAACTCAGAAGAGCTATCTAGGC